TTAATGACAGAGCAGTTGCTTTTTGTGGTCAGACTGACTCCAGATCAGCAACCAGAGCTGTAAGATTGATGAATGAGATCCCACTGCAGGCCTCCCAGTGGCAGACAACTGGAGATCTTGTTCTCTCTCTCTCTCCCTCTCTCTCTCTCTCTCTCTCTGTGTGTGTGTGTGTGCCTGTAACTGTTAAATATAACCACACACTCTACTGCAAGGGCGTCTCAGGACCAGGGAAGCCTCAGGGAAAGGATGCAACATGGGAAAGCCCTCGATTAAAAGTCTTGTACAGCCAGTCTTTACCAAAAAGGAAGTAGAAGCATGTGTTTTGTTTTTTAAGACAACTTTTTAAGAAAACTTTTTTTAAAATAGAAAACAATAGAGCTATTACTTGCATGGCAGAATTAGAACTGTTTTCTTCTTCTTTTTTCTTCTTTTTTTTTGCATGCTCACACATGTTCAGTAAAAAAGATGGAACATTTTTGACCAGCTAATTTTGACCAGCTAAAACATACATCATGATTACTGTCACATAATGGACTGTCATGTGTCTGTAATGTCTTAGGTGTGTGGTTAAATAATTGATGCTAAAGATTACGGCGTAGGAGAGACTGTCAGGAGAAACCCTAGAGTCACCAGCAACGAGCACTGACCCCAGGAGCAACCCTGCAACCAGACACCTCCTCAGCACCTCTGATAGGGATATCCAATAGATTAGAGAGTGTGTCTAGGTGCGTGTTTAAGGGATCCTATGCATTAGTTTCTATGAACTAGTCCCCATACACTGGTTGGCTGGTGTCTGACCAACTGACAGTTGATAGGGTCAAGAAGCAGCTATTTGGAATATTGTCTTGGTACTGTTGCTCCTCATGTCCCTGTCAGTGTATTCCTTCAAAATGAAAATGATGAGGCTGTGTCTGTGGAATTCTCTTGTAACATTTACATCAAAACAAGTCTTAGGCAACATAGTTCCTATGATTGTCTGACTAAAAGGGTTTTAACAAGTTCATGAGTTCATGGTTCAATTGGTCCATTCTCCGTGAGACTCATGTGAGACTTACTGTTATGGCCATTTTGTGGCAGTTTATGTTCCTTTATGGTACAAAGAATTTTAAAATGGTGTTCTTAAATTTCAAGATGGTTTTCACAAAGAAAAAAATACACAGTATCACAAACCAAAGAGCTGTTATTTCATTATTGATTAAGATTTAGAAGTTTTTACATTATATTTTCTCCTACTTTACAGTGCATTACATATCTATACCATTTGATAAGCCTGGAATAAAAAATGCATGCACCAAACTTCAAACAGTGTCATTAAGTGACGTCTTTGTTGAATAGAACAGAGACCTTGGCTGTAGAAGCTGTAATGTGCTGGTTGAAAACATTATGATCTGAAGGTCAATGCTTTCTGCCCCAGAATTTTATTTTATTTTTTACAGTGGTTGAAGTATATTTATTGGATGTGGTGAGATGTTTCGAGAGCGTAAAGCCTAGTGTTGTAAAACAAGAATAAGGCCATAAAAGCATCTTTGGAGTTTTAAATGTGTGTGTTTTGTGACTTGTTTTAAGTGTTTGGTCCCAGAGACATGACCAGTCATTTCAGGGCTCTCCAGTGTCTTGGCTCAGTGTCCAGCTCTGTGTTTCTTAGCGCCATTCTACATGGACCCTCACTCCCATTCTTATCAGCGATAGAGGTCTAAGTCAGACGCTTCGTGCCAACATTGGCTGTGACAGACAGATCCCAGTTCTTCTGGGGTCAAAGTTGGCACAACATGAGATACAAAAACAAAAAACTGTGCTTCATCTTTTCGAACAGATCTGTGTATAACACAGCATCAGCTTTGTATCAGGAATCTTTCAGTGCAGTGCACCATCTGTGTCAGGTGATCTGTTTTACAGCTAGTTAAGAGGTAAAAGACCAGCAAACTTTTCACTGCCAAGACTCTAAACACTGTTGTCCCTGTAGTGAGATGAAATCATTTGAAATTTGCAAGTTTTTTGCTGATTTTGCCACAAAAAACAGTCTGATATACTATGAAAGATATTTGATTCTAGAAAAATTAAATTTAAAAACAGTCAGCCCTAACCTTAATTAAATACAACAAATCAACAGCATTTGTTTTTTTTCCACTTGGAAAACTAAAAAGAAAATTCAAACCTTAGTAAATGAAGAAAATTATTAACGGAAGTCAAATTAAATAATATGGCATCTGACCCAGTTCTTAACTTGCGTCTTATGTTGCACAAAAAATTATTTTTGCAGAAATTCTTTTTTCCCTCATAGATTCATTACCATATGACTAATATGTGAATTAGTAGAATTTACAAATCACATCCAATTACATTCTTCAGGTGCTCTATATTTACGATTAGACAGAAACTCTGGTACTTTTTAGGCAAATTAAAGGAAAAAGAGTGGTTTATAGTTTTCTGATCAAGGTCTGAGGCAGGAAGTTTCCCAACCACAGGAGAGAGAGGAGTGCGGAGGGCAAATAGGATTTATTCAACCCCGACATCTTTTGGTCCAGCAACACTTACTTCCCTCCCTGCATCACCCACTGTCCAGACCCACTACCCACCACTTCTAATCCTTTTTA